TACAAAAGAACAATGAAAACCTCCCCAACCCAGCCATTCAGCTCAGAAAATGTAACTTTACTATAAACATTCACTATTTCAATATATAAAATAATATTTTCGCCTTTTGTTTTCAGCCATCTGATCAATCAACAGTACATTATTTATTTTGTGATAGTATAAAACCATGTGAAATCATTATTCAATTGTCAGTTATTTATCAATGGCCATTACCTGCTGCAAAACATTCAACTACATCGACTAATTCTCATATGCTTGAAACAGAAGAACCAAATGAACATAACAATACACAAGTGATACCGGTAACTAATACATCAAGTAGGTACATTATTGATTAACTATATTATTGTGACGAATTTGAGAGATGCATAACGGGGTTGTGAAGATTGTTAAGTTACACATTTTTGAAACCATGAATCGATCAGTGTTTGTCCACCATTAGAAAATGTTCCTCAGAAAACAGCATTCAAGAAAAGTTGTCGTTATAAGAAAGGAATTTACATCTATATTAACATGGAAGCACTGTAGGACGGCCGTTTCGTCCTGGTATGGGACTCCTCAGCAGTGCGCATCCACGACTTCTGCAACTCGCAGGATTCGAACCCAGAACCTTCGGTATTGTGCGCGAACGCCTAACCATCGGACCACTGAGGCGATATCTAATGGTGTTCTTGCTAAACTTGATCAATTCACGGAGTTGCGCAACCTCATACACAGTCTTCGGTAGTTACTGTCTACACCCGAACAGGTTGAACTTCACAACCCCGTAATGCAAATTACCTGTGCTCACTAGTGACTAGCTTCGTGAGGAATCTTCTCCGAGTTCTAGTGGGAAGACGTGACCAGTGAAGTTCAACTTGTTCGGGTGTAGACAGTAACTACCGAAGACTGTGTATGAGGTTGCGCAACTCTGTGAATTGATCAAGTTAAACATTAACACTGTTTGATACCGGTTCAGTGGTCCGATGGTTAAGCGTTCGCCTACAATGCCGAATTTGAGAGATGTCTAGGGGTGACCTTGAAATAATTATGTCAGTTAGTGAACCAATTATGAAACTGTTCATGCGTACTGTTGAAAAATATTCTAGTTAAAAGATTAAGGAACCAGGAATGAGTTTGAAGGTTTAATTTAATTTGTGAATTTTTGAAGATACATGACAAGTTTTTTTTTAATCATGGTAAAATAAATTCAGCTTCAGGAACAAAGATATAAGCAGTTGATAAATACACACAAACTTACTTACTTACGCGCGGTACCTCTAATGATGCATTGGTCGCCGATCAGCCAATTTTTTTTTCTGGTTAGCATTTTCTTAGCGAGTTGGTATTCTTTGGGAAGGAGTCGTCAACCCCGTGCTCAACCGTCCTACTTAATCCGAGCTAGGAAGCGTCAGTGACCACGGAAGGTATTAAGTCGGTGTTAGATGTATGCGTAGAAATCGCAGTATGTTTTAATTTTTCCAAACTACTGACTGAAAAGTTGCGCTGTTCAACTCGAATGAACGAATGAAAACTACTTTCAGGCAAAGTTTTGGAGGTTTGTGTTTTTACACATTTGAAATCATCAATCAATCATTGTTAGACCACCGTTAGAAACGTGGAAGCACTGGACGGCCGTTTCGTCCTGGTATGGGGCTCATCAGCGGTGCGCATCCACCACTTCTGCACCTCGCAGGATTCGAACTACTTTGTTTATTTAATGTATACTAGTTGTGTTGAAAAAAATAGTAATTGATATTGCTCTAACATAGCATCACATTATTTCTACATTTTGGTGACAATATGGCACGTTTTCTTAGTGATGATAGGCATTTCGATAACTGTACAGATATATGTATATGTATTCAACAAAATGAATGGTTTCACTACAAATGATGTTTCCTAAAATTTAATTAACTTATATTTATAGTATAGTTGTAATGGATTAAGATAGGCATATAATTCAAGAAAGTAGTAGAACAGTATGAAACCAGTTGCGGATTTAAACAACTTCCAACCATAAAATATTCATGAATTGGGATTTGTAGAGATGGTATTATTTTGATAGTTGAAATCACTAACTGGTCTTAGTCAGATCATCATTAGAAAACTAGGGGCCGTTTCGTCCTGGTATATGATTCGTCAGCATCACGTATCCATGACCCCATAAATGGAAATCGGATCAAGAACCTTCGGTCTCGCACTTGAACGCTTAACACTTTGCTCCTAGGTTTTCTATAGTGGTTCCACATTGTTCAGTTCATCATTCCAATGAAAATCAACAGTCTTTACAATCCTATACTGACAAATACGTGTTAATTGATAAAGCCATGTATTTGTATATATTGAAATGACTCGATTATACTTTGTATTGAATACATACTAATTTCCATTGAAGAACAGAAATAAGGTGAAAAGAAGCTTCATGACAGTTGGATCAACCGACATGTTGGTGTGAGTACGATGCTAGTGTGGTTAAACGTTTTTAGCGATTTGGATTTCAATGAGATAAGGTCGCTAACTCCATGCCCAACCCTGCTCATTTATCTGGATTTAGAACCGGCAGTTACCTCAGAAGAGCTCCAGGCTGAGTTAAGATGCTAGTGTAGATTGGTTGAGTGTATTATTTATCTAACTGTTATGCTCGTCAATTGATATGCTTGAAACTATTACGAGTTCACCTTACACGATAAATGAGAGCTAAGACAAGTGATCCAGTGACACGATAGGCTACTCTAATCCGAGTGTTCCAAGCCAGCACTAACGTTATTAAAACGTTTTGATATGAAGTAGAAAGTGTATTCTACAAGCACCCAGTAAAAATGACGTTTTGTACAGAAGAAGAAGAGGAGCATAAAACCAGATAGACAATGCATGTTTATGCAGTTAGGTCAACAGTGAATGCTAACCAATAGGAAACAACATTTAAAAGTATATGAACTTTATAGTTTAGGACGACCTTAAATATTGACCAATAGAATGAGACTTACAAAATAATTTGATGAATATCCTAATGCTAACCATGTTCATCGTCTGTCTGCATTGGCTCCAACATACGTGTATATATTTACATCATTACTCTCTATTTAGCTGATATTTTTTTCCAGCTGATTGATCAGCTAATTGATCAACTATCTGTTATCTAAATTTTGCTGATAATTGTCAAATCTCAACATGACTTACTGACTTACTTACGTCGTGTTTCCCTTGTACAGAATAGGTTATCGACTAGGATTTTCCAATCAAATTCGTCTTATATATTTTCCTTACAAGTTATTATCATGAGGTATTCAATGTAATTCAGGATTAAAAATGGATTTCAGTGAATAAAAAACATTCATAAGTAACTTTTGTTGTAGTTTTTATAGAACAGAGGACTTATTCGAAAGTTGTAGAGATATTTCCAAAGATTTAAAGTTCAAATGTATCGGGCATAAGAGTAAAGCTAATGAATAATGATTATTATAAAAATTTTGTAAATTCCCCCTAAATTCTGATAATCTCTACCAGTCAACTAGCCCTACTAGGAAGTTTGATATGACTACATTTTGTTCTGATTTAGTGAGAAAAAGTTAGAACTTGAAACAATGATGTGGTGTGATATTTTCACGGTTTTAATCAATACCTTAAGTTTTGTAAATATACATATAAAAGTGGGATCCATGTGTTACGCCTGCACGTAAACACGTCAACTTGATATACTTGAACTATTTCGAGTTTACCTAGTCCGAAAACGAAAGCGAGGATCTGGTGACACGACATGCTACTCAAATCCGATTATGCTAACCCACATATTTAGTAAAAAATGAGAAGACATGATATGAAGCAGAACGTGTATTCTACAAGCAACCAGAAAGTACGAGGTCTGAGTCCAGAAGAGAATCAGGATCCCGGACAAGGGAGACGGGACCGAGCCCTAGTCCTGGTCGTGGTCATAAAATGTTACAGATAATTCGTATTTATACATTTTGGTCGAATAGGAAACAGCATCGAAGTGTGTGACATTGACAGTTAGGACAAGCAATAGGAAGTAACATTTGAAGTGACATTGACAGTCAGGATGACCAATAAGAAACAAAATTTAAGTATTTGACTTTGACAGTTAAAACGACCGTAATTTTGACCAATAAAAATCGACCAGTAGGATCTGACCAATAATTCTCTTAGGATATTGGATGTATATCCTAACACAATGATGCTGATTTTGTCCGATTCAGGATTTGTATTTAACTGGATGTACCTACATTTCGAGACTGGAAGAGTAAGTTTGTAGGTTCGTGTCTTGGAGTAAATATCAACTCTAAGATGCCAGTAAATCCAGCTAACGAATACCGAACAGAACGAAACGTGCATCTTGGATTCCACTATTAAACACTATTTATCTTTACTTACAGTTAGTGAAATATATGTATACCACTTTTTTTCTGTTTCTCAATTTTTAAGCTTCATTTATTGGAGATTATACTAATTTACAATCTCAAAATAATTCCCCAGTTGATTCTCAATATAATATGAATCCATCTGTACAGTTGTCATCATCAGCCTCAGCATCAACATCATCTACTCAACTTCCATCATCCTTGTTAGTTGAATCCTATCATTGGCATCAATCAAAACAAGGTGATCCAATTAAATATTTGGAAACTACTGGAAATAGTTCTATTTCTCTATTATTACCATCTAGTCGTTATTCTTATAAGCTAATTATTACTGCACCATTAGGTTATTTCATTACAATTATTGGACGTGTACGTTCAACAATTTTGAATAATTCAAGTGAACAATTTATTGAGAAGCATATTTCTTCCATAAAAACTATTTCATCTATGAATCTGTTATTTGGTGATTATGATTATATTTTAACAAATGGTATTATAACATGTCCATTATTAATTAAATATTATGCTAATCAATGTATTGATTCAATGTTCAATGCTGGACAAACATTGGAACAATTGATCAATTTAATTGAAGCCTATGATAAACAAATTCATGAATCTGTTGTTACTACTACTACTACTACTACTCAGAATATTAGTAATAATAATAATAATACTGAATTAGAGTTTATAGAAAAAGTTACAAGTCTTCTGACAAATTTAGATGTTCAACAAAATGAATTAAAACAATTATTATCAATATGGCCTAATCAAAAAGTAAGCTTTTTTCTAAAAATTGATTGGTCAATTTAAATGTGTGGAGTGAAAGTGATAATATATACTAAAGACCTTGAGGCGACCAATCAGAGTATATATAGCATCTGATGAATTTCGTCGCGAAAAGGTAAAGTGTAGTGATAGATAACTTATTTGCAGGTTATTATTGACAAAGTCTAAAGTTTAAGCGTTCGCGCGCGAAGTCGAAAGTCCTGGGCTTGATTTCTTGTAGTGGGGTTGTAGATGCGCACGGTTGTTGACGAAAGAGCTGTCCAGAACTTTCAGATTTCTAATTGTTGGGGACGTTAGATCCCCAGAACTCACTTGATGTAAGCCTTACTTTTGGATTTTATTCATGGGCTGATCAATTTGTCCTTGAGATAACATTTCCCACCAAGAAAATCCTCGACTGTCATTGGTTGTTGTGTTATTTTAGTACGCTATTTTTGTGGCTCTCCTAAGGAAGTTTTTATGATGCATAAATAAACGCGATCTATGTGCTTTGGATCATTGTGTTTGTTGGATGTTTGTAGAATACACATTCTGCGCTATATCAAGACTTTTTCTTCAGTTAGTTCGGGCAACGAATCAGAGTAGCCTACCACGTCACTGTTTCATTATCTCGTTTTCATTTATCGACTAAGGAGAACTCGTATTAGTTTCAAGCATATCAAGTGACGAGCATAACACTAAGGTTGGTCTCACTTGGCGATGGAGACTCTATGGGGTGCTCTTAACAAATATGTCAATTTCTGATTGGTTGAATATTTGTGTTTAAATTTGCATAAGCGTTTCTTTTAATACTGAATAGGTCTGTTTTGCTTTTGCATTATTGGTAATATTCTACATACATTTAATTACAAATTTTTTAAACCATGAATCGATCAATTTTAAACCACCATTAGAAACCTGGAGGCATTGGACAGCCGATTCGTCCTGGTATGGGACTCCTCAGCAGTGCCCATCCACGACTCCTGCACCCCGCAGGAGTGCAAAACGAATCATTAAAGTTTGACAAGTTCATACTGTTTATCAAAACTAATTTTGACTGAAATTCAAATACTGGCTTTCGAATAAGAAGCGTGAAAAACCTTGTAACTTCACTAAATGCCATGACAATAAGAATGTTATTTAAATTAGAAACAAGGTACTATCGAAAAATTGATCTCACTGTTATGCTCGTCAATTGATATGCTTAAAACTATTACAAGTTCATCTTAGTCGATAAATGAGAACAAGACTGAACCAGTGACACTATAGGCTACTCTGATCGGTTGCCCAAACTAACTAAAGAAAAAGCGTTGATATAGCGTAGAAAGTGTATTCTACAAACAACCCAGCCAACACACAATGATCTCAAGCACACAAATTGCGTTTATTTATACATCATAGAAACGTCCTTGAGAGAGTCACAAAAATAACACACTAAAATAACACAGTAACCAATCACAGACAAGGCTTTTCCTGGTGGGAAATGTGATATCAAGGTCAACTGATCAGCCCATGAAATAAATCCAAAAGTAGGACATTTAGCGAGTCACGGGGGATCTAACGTCCGCAACTCTCACTAACTACCTATCAAAATCTTGGTGTCCCAAACCAATGTTGTCCAATAATTAATGTCTGTATTAGTTTGAAAATCCCCCATTATGAGCATGATGAAATAGAGAGAAAATATATATACTATCTACCTCCTGCAACTATTGTTAATTTTTCTCGCAGCTGAAGGCTGATTTATTCTCTTGCCATAGTAGGTTGCTGTTGATGGTATCTGGCCAACGGATCCTCGGTATCTTGCATAGACAACTGTTAATAAACATCTTGTCTAGTGGATGATGTCTTTTTTGGTCCTGCAAGTTTGCGCTTCATACAGCAGAATTGTCTTAACATTTGTATTTAAATTGTGACATCAGTGTTGATTGAAAGAGAGTTGTTTTGAGATCCAGACCTTCTTCTATTGTAGAAGTGCCTCCCTTGCTTTGCCGATCTGTGCCTTCGGATCGGCATCAGATCCACCTTGTTTAACAATCATGCTGCCAAGTTATATAAAGGTTTCCATATCCTTCAAAGCTTCTCTATCAAGTGTGATTTAGTTGGTTCATGTTATATTGTATCGGAGGATCTTGATTTTTCACTAGTGTATGCTAAAACCTATTGCTACAGTGGTTGCAGCTACACTGGTCATATTCTCCTGACTGTTTTCGTATTTTATGTGGGATAGAAGGGCTAGATCGTCTTCGAATTTCATATTAGTCTTTAGAACAATAGAACGAGATTGTCTCATAAAGTGGCTGGACGTTTCAAATATTAGAAGCTTAACAATCTTAAAATAACACGATCTCAAATGAACTTGAGGATTCTAACGTTATTTGGGTACTTATTACCTATGAGTTCCTCCATATAACAAGGCAACTATTCAATACTGCTTAGTATACAACAAATATTTCTACTGAATTCAGTCTACTCTTCACTAAAATCATCTTCATGACATTATGTTTAAATTTACCGATGTAATTTCAAGTTTTATATGTCTTTGTTTTCGAAAATTTTATTTAGGCAATTAAACCAACTTTATTGTCAATACTTCAACATTTAGCAGAAAATTCTGGAACACCAGAAATGAATTATGCCTGGCGTATATTACAAACAGATTTTACAACAATCAATCCATTTCAAGTAGTCTATGGTCATGGTAAATGGTCATGATACATTTATCATTATTGCAATAACTTTTTTCATTCATTTACATGCTAATGAATTCATAGTGATATGAACAAAAGAAGATTACTGAGGTTCACTTTAACACTAGATATCATAAATCGATCATTGTTAGACCATCATTGAAAACCTAGAAGAGCTGCACGACCGTTTCGGCCTAGTATGGGACTCACCATTGGCAGTACGCATATGCGGGAATCGGACTCACGAATTTCGACCTCGTGGACCACTGAGCAGGTGGAATCCAACGTTTTGAATCCTTAACTTTAATCAGTCCAAGAATTTGGCGCAACCTTATCCATTCATTGTCTTCGGTAGGTAACTGTCTAAAGTCAACATGGTTGAACTCGACTGGTCACGGCTTCTCACTAGAACTCTAAGAATATCCACACAAAGTTAGTCACTTGTGAATGGGTCGTGGAAGTGTACAGCTGATGAGTCCCATACTAAGACGCAAATTAAATATAGTTGTGATATCAATGATCAAACAATAAATACGAGTTTAGATAAGATAATGAGAGAAATAATCATTATAACAATAATAATGTTGGGGACGTTATATCTCCAGAACTTGCTTGATAAATGCCTTACTTTGGATGTCACGTTTGCGAGCATGGGTTGATCAGATGACCTTGAGATTTCATTTCACACCAGGAAAATCCATGGCTGTGATTGGCACATTATTGAAAATGAGATCATTTTATAATTGAGACAACTATTTTGGTTCATTGGCCTTGAAGTTGTGGCTACAATGAGAGAAAGGAATTGAACACATTTATTCTGCTGAAGTAACTCCAGCTTTTTTATAAGAGAAGCGCCATTGGTTCTGATGTTTGGGCAACAGCAAGATTAAGTTGATCGACCTGATCAATTATTGAGACAGATGTATACTGGTGCGAAGAATCCTTTTGTACTAAATAGCCCAGTATTGAGATGTTTGAAACTAACACTACTCGTTTGATTATCTACGCTGGGAGATGTTTACATTCCCTAAAATTTTTACCAGTTATAACTTGCTCCGCAAGTGCAGCTAAATTGGTAGTCATTTTAGGTAAATTCATCTTTTAGCCTCGTCTTGTCACCAGTTAGCGCGTAGAATACCATTATTAATTGCTGTGTGCAATTTTGGAATTCATAATTCACCAGTTGTGTTACCCTTAAATTGCAGGTGAATGAACAGGGAGTTCTTAATCAGTGATTGTTTTTCACTTATTCTAACTTTTGTGGTGATGCATATTTGTTTGCATGAAAGGGTTGTGTAGATTTTAGAGTAACTTTTTGAAATCATGAATTGATCAATTAGAAACTTGGAAGCACTGAACGTCCGTTTCATCCTGCTATGACACTCGCCAGCAGTGCGTATCCATGACTCCTGAAACCTGAAGGATTTGAACCTAGAACCTCCGGTCTTGCGCGCGAACCCCTAACTTCTGGTTCACTGAGATGGCAACTAACGGTGTAAGTATATAACTTCAATCAATTCACGGTCTTGCACAACCTCATCCACCGTCTTCGGGGAGCCTTGTTTCATACCTGAAAAGGGTTGAAATCCACTGGTCATCACGACTTCGCACTACAACTCTGAGAAATCCCCTCTTTGAAGATAGCACACAAGTTGTTTAGCTCATCTTCAAGTATATCATCAGTAGAACATCTAGTACGTATTCAATCAATAAGAGTTTTTAACAGGTCTCATTCACACTCTAACGATACAGACGCTAAGGAAAGGTGTTTACTACCATGTTTAATTTCCTGTTTATTGAGCCATCCTCCCTTTCTGTTGATCGAGAATCGAGTGAGGTTATTCTATCGTCAATTTACTCATCAGTTGTAAACTTAATGCCACGGTATACTTCATTAAATTTTGTTTAGTCAAAATAGATATTATTATTATTATTATTAAGGACACTGAAATAATTTTATTTTCTTAAAAAAAATTGTTTTTAAATATTTCAGAAACAATTTCAAATCCAGCTCCTTTAGTTGTAACAAAACAAAAATCAAAAGTCACTAGTTCACGTAAGTATTGAACACATTTATTATTGTTTCTTGTTAAATGTACAATGTTTGAACTTAAACTATTCATATTGACATTAGTCATTGTTAGAGAAGACAGAAAGAATCACGTCAGTTATTCTGAACTTTAGATTTGCAATTATTTCATAGTCAAGTTAACAGTTCATGCTTGTTTGAGTATTTAGCTTTCGATATCAAAAAGTCAAAACAAGAAGACTGTTACGCATACACGTAAACACGTCAATTCGATACGTTTGAACTATTACGAGTTTACCTTATTTGGAAAAGGAGGGCGAGTATCGATGATATGGCGACACGACATGCTACTCTAATCCGATTGGCCCAAACCCTATTAAGTAAAAGAAGAAGACTTGGTATGAAGTAGAACATGTTTTCTACAAACATCCAGAAAGTATGAGGTCCGAGTCCAGAAGATGATAAGTATCCCAGACAAAGGACCCGAGTTCGGATCTGAGTCCGAGTCCGGCTCATAAAGCGTTACACACAATGAGTATTTATACAGTTAGGCCGAATAGGAAGGAACAATAAAGTCTGTAAAATCGACAGTTAGGACGACCAATAGGAACTGACTAGTGGAATATCCTAACAAAGACCTCATAGGATTCCGTTTAACAAGGGAAAAAGAAACTATGAGTACATCTGAAGAACAATTAGAAAACTATTCAAAATGTATCATGAAGGTGTTGGTCATATGATGACTTAAAAATTTCAAATTTAGAAAAGTTTTTATTCATTGATAAACTGATCACACTGCTAAAACTACTATTACTATTCTTTCCATCAGTAAACTATAACCGTGAGGAAATCTTGTAGCGCTTCCACATAAATTTGAGTTCGTTTATATTTAATTTGCTTAAGCCTTTCGATTAACTTATTTAACCAAGCCAAAACTAATATTTACCGTTAGTTTCTGCTACTGTCTGGTTTGTATGAACTGGTATGCCTGAACATTGAGTACCGCATACGTGAATGTTCATCTTACTCGCTTAAATGTTAACTTCTTAAATATTTCGATGACTCAAATACTTTCCTATGTATATATATGTACATTTTGATCTAGTCAATTTATTCGCCAAGTCTCCAATTCGCTCGCTCAATTGCATGCTTGTGGTTGCTGGTCCATTTTTAGTCTGCTAAAATAAACGTATTCAACGCTTCGTATTCGCCTTCCGAATTGTAAACCGTCAGGTGCTATCTAGTAATGATTGTCTGGATGTGCAAATTATAAAATCTAAGAACACGTTGGATACCGATCGTCATGAAACTAGTCATGCATTGGCGACAATAATCTAATTCTTACTCCTGGTCTCTATCACTGTGACGAGCTTCATGTACAAAATTAGTCAACTCTTTAAAATCATGAATAGATAAATGTTAGAGCACTATTGGAAAACTGGAAGCATTTGATGATCGTTTCGTACTAGTATGAGACTCATCAGGACGACCCTGTACGCGATGATCAAAAGCAGAACACTCGATCTCGCACATAAACGTATAAACTTTTATCAAATTTTTGGTAAAGATATTTGATAAAGACGTTGTATGTTGCAGTAAATCGTATTTGCTATAAAATGAACAGAAATAAATGTATGAACGCATACTTTCAGATTATTTGTTCTCTCCCACAGAAGGTTGTTACTGATAGTGTCTGGCCAAATATAAATAAACAATTGTATCCTTTGGGTGGTTCATTTCGTGGTTCTCTAAGTTTACGCTCCATACAGTAGAGCTGTCTTGATATTTGTTTTGAAAATTGTGAGTTTGTTGTTGGTTGACAGACATTTGTTCTGACTTCTAGAAGTTATTTGATTGTAGAAATACTGCTCTTGCTTTTCCAATCTGTATATTTACATTTATATCAGGTTCGTCTCGTTTATCTTTCATGCTAACTAGGTAGGTAAAGATTTCACATCTTTCAAAGCTCGGTTGATGCATGTTGTGTTGCTTTGGAAAATGTTGCTTTTTACCTTGTTTATGTTGAGGGCTATTGCTTCAGAGGTTGCTGCTGCACTGGTAGTCATCCTTTGCATTTTGTTGTTGCGTGTAGGATAGAAGAGCTATATCATCTGCGAAGTCTAGATCGTCAAGCTGCATCCGAGATATCCCATGTATCCTGTTCTTCCCCCTAGATTTTGACGTCTTCATAATGAAGTTGACTACCAGGAGCAAGAGAAAGGATGAGAGTAAGCGACATTTTCTGCCACCGATCTTCACTTGGAAAGAGTCTATGAGCTATCCTCCATGCACAGTTTTGCAGTTTAGTATATCATAAGAATTCCGTATGATATTGACAGACTTCTCAGGCACGCCTCAGTGCCAAAGTAGCCTCCATAGTGTTACCTTGTCCACGTTATCAAAAACTTCCTCGTAGTCAATGAAGTGGGTGTAAAATGGTGAATTCTATTGAACCGATTGTTACAAATTTATCCATAGTGTCACTAGTTAGTCATGCCTTCATTTACATACATTAGATAAACTACTATAAATCCAATGTTGATTGCAGTTAAACAGTTAACAAACAGCTTGAAATTTTGAATTTCGTGTCTACACTATTTAGTTTAAACCGTTCGATTAAATCAGTAATCACTATAGATGAATTCTAATTTGTACTACTACTACTACTACTACTACCGTTACTACTACTACTACTACTACTACTACTACTACTACTACTACTACTACTACTACTACTACTACTACTACTACTACTACTACTACTACTACTACTACTACTACTACTACTACGTTACTACTACAAATACACCTTAACAAATGTATTAATCATTATTGTCTTTTGATTAATATCGATATATCACTTTATCTTTCTTTTTAATAGGTGTAGAAAAAACTAATCCAACTGTTAAAGCGTAAGTTGATTTACTTGTTCTACATGAAAATCTTAATAATAGGAAATTTTTTTCATAATTTTATTGAATATGAAATTGATTTGATTTGACAGTTTTCACAAACTACTTGCATATTATTTTTACCCAATCATATCTTGTGAACCTTTTTGCATTGATTCATTTTCAACTAGATCAACATTACTTTTACTAATCTTAATATCTGTAGGAGTAAAAAGTTCAAACTTGATCATTAAAACGTACTGTTGTTATTAACGAGGAATGTATATTAGTAATAATAATAATAATAATAATAATAATAATAATAATAATAATAATAATAATCACAACGTATCCTTAGTTCACTCCTACAACAAAGTGTCTTTAAATGACACCCTGTGTGTTCAATATTCAATATTCACATTAAATTGGATATTCACTCATGTTCACAAGATATTATTCTTTTAATGAGATATCGCGTAAATTATCACGATAACAAGCACCAATAAACAAAGTGTGATCTGAAATCATTCGAAATGATAAAAATATATTAGATAAATGATGATTATACTACAGATCGAGAACTATTGAACACTTGTAACGGAATAATATAAACCAATTCTTAGAATTCAAATCTATTGGAAAAGTTAATACTTATCTTTACTTAATAATTTAGAATGACACCCAATCTAACTAAGAAGAAATACCTAATCAGTAATTTAATACTCACCTCAATTTAACATTATTTTAAAATATTTGAAATCATCAATCAATCATTTTTAGACCGCCATTAGAAATCTGGAAGCACTGAACGGTCACCGTTTCATCTTGGTATGAGACTCGTCAGTGGCAATGCGCATCAACGACATTGGGTTTGTTTGGAACTACATTATGTCTTTTGAAATGTTCTAGTTATGAACATACTAAGACCTATAAAACTTTAGCATATCTATATATTAAAAATTTGACCATCAGCAGTTCGCATCCACGACACACCACAACAAATTGAATCCTGAACTTTCAGTCAATCTCTCGAACACTTAACCTCTTAACCAGTGAGTCATCGTCCGATGGTATTATTGTCTCACTTTAATCACTTCACAATAGTGTACCACCATCATATTTTATCTTTGGTGGGTGACTGTCTTACAAACAACACAATTGCAATCCACTGGCCACGGTTTCACATTAGAATCCTGAGAATCCTCTCACAAATCTAGTCACTAATGATCACATGATAACTTTTACTATAGTATTGTGGAAATTGTGGAGTTTCATTGAAACGTCCAAAGGGTTAAGCATCTATAAGCAAGATCAAAGGTTCTGGGCTCAGTTCCTTGTGTCGTGGTGATGGATTCGTATTGCTTATAAGTTCCTTACTAGGGAAATAAATTAATATCAAGTGCTATGATGTTTCTAATGATGGTAGTCTACCATTGATCAATTTGTCATTTCTATGGAACTCAACAATTTCCACAATTCTATAATGACTATATTAAAACAAATAATTTTCTATTTTGTTCTTCATATGTTTACTCTTTTCTTTTTTTACAGTACTGCAGTTGAAGAGTCATTTATCAATCGCTGGAATCGACCAGTTGACCCCGATATGTTAATTGCTATAGTACGTATACAATCATTATATCGTGGTTATCGTATTCGGAATGCCATACGCTTAAGTCAAACAAAATATATTATAGAAACTTTATTATCGATCGTGAATTTTCAACATCACTCAAATAACAGTAATGATAATAATAATAATAATAGCAGTGTTATAGAGAAATGTGAATTCAAACTCAATCGTTTTATACAAAAAAGAATTTTGCAAAGAATTAAACGTTTATCTACTGGTTGGATGAGTTGTTTAAATCTATTACAACAAGGTCAACGTCAATCTGAGGCGGGAAATAAACTAATTGAACGATTAGTTGTTACCAATTCCAGAACTAGTGATAATAATAGTAACTTTAGTATACAAAGTAAATCCCATAAAGATATTGATTCGTATTTAAGTAGCAAAGAATATTCTGGAACTTGTTCTGAAATTCCATCCCCATGTCCAATGCATAATACAGGATCTCAATTAATCGATAATGACAAATGCAATAATAATCCATTTCATAAAGATTGGATTCATTTATTATTTCGTGATTGTATTTATCCATCGAAATTATTGAAAAATGAATGCATCAATCATCAGGAGGAAGTGAAATATTCAATTCGACTGAAAATAACCATATCGGATAGTTATATTTTATTGGTAAATAATGATAACGGTAAGTTTGAGAAACTTTTTTTACTTACTCCTCTGTTGGGGATGTTAGATCCCCAAAACTCGCTTGTTACATGCCTTAATTTTGAATTCCACGTTTGCCAGCATAGGCTAATCAGTTGACCTTGAGATTTCATTTCTTGCTAGGAAAATCTATGGCTGTGATTGGTTGCTGTGTATTTTAGTGTGCTATTTTTGTGACTGTCTCAAGGACGTTTCTATGATGTATAAATAAACGAGATTTGTGTGCTTGATTGTATTGTGATTGCTGGGTGTTTGTAGAATATACTTTCAACGCTTACAAAGCCTTCTATCTTCAGCTTGGGATTCAAGGTTGCCTATCTGGACACTGGTAATAGTCTCGTTCGCGTTTATCGACTAAGGTGAACTCGTAATAGCTTCAAGCGTACCTAGTGACGAATCCGACATCCTAAATCATTGCATTCTTATTGGCATAATTTAGATAAAAGTGTATTATAAATACTGAGAAAGTAATGCATATTTTTTTGGGTAGATTCATTCTCAATCATCGAGGGTAATTTTGCATTGGTTCTCAAGAGAATCAGACACTGTCCAAGTGGTTGACACTACAACCTGTGAACAGTACAACTCAATCCCATTACGGCAAACACCACACTATGGTGGACTACTCACACAAATTATATACACCAATACAGATAGGGATTATTTCCGATCCATGATAGCGTCAACCAATATGGACTGCATGAACAGGCCGCTGTGACCAATCCCGTTTACATGACTATCAAATTAATTATTATTCACAATAGGGATATGCATTGCAGAGTCCCAATGACAACGGCCTTCTAGAATGTTGCAAAACAACCGTAGCTAGTAATCGATGAAATTGGTCACCCTGAAAACCAAACTTGTATATGTACTATTAACAAAACTTGCCAAAGTAACTCCAAACAATTCACAATGTTCATCATAACGAACCTCTGGTTTCAAAAGAAACTTTCAACTTAATATACAACAATACAGCTAATGGCATAAGGACAGAGTAGGTTAGAGAACACTGATCGGTGGCCTATGCTCCAATGAGGTTAATAGGCGTAAGTAAGTAAGCATGGTGTATATAAGCTTATGGCATAGGATAGTAAGAGATGCAGCTGAGCTTGATTCGAATAGTCTCAAACACACTTTGTTACCCTTTGTCTCATGCCGTGAGACGGTTTTTTCACAATGGTGAAATCTTCATTTCTCTAACCATATGGGACTTGGGCAAATTTTACACAAATATATTGAAAATCTGAATGCGAATTAATTAGGTTAAGATCCAAGTAGCTGAACAGTTTATTACAATTTCATTAATGATATTCCAGACAGATATTAGAAAGGAATCATGAATCGATCAATGTTAGATCACCATTAGAAACCTGGAAACACTGGACGGCCATTTCATCCTGGTATGGAACTCGTTAGCAGTGCGCGCATCCTGGACTCCCGCTAATCACCGTTCATTGCTTCCAGGTTTCTAATGGTGGTCTAAAAATGATTGATTCATGAGTTCAAAAAATTAAAAGTCGCGTTTCTGATTCCATGATGTATTGGTGCATAAAATATTTTGGATTTTAGAATAATTAGCATTCAGTGAAACTTCAGTTTGCGCTCTCCATGGTTTAGCCCGTTCAGAAAAACACCACATCCAACAAAGTAGGATCATCATGAACATCAATTCGTGGTCAAACACCGTG